ATACAATTCAGTGTCTTGAACCACCACAGGCGCTTTTTATATAGACATTTCAAATAAAGTACAGGTAGACATCAGATTTTTCAATCGGACGCATCTCAGTTTTTTCACGAGAAACTTGTACACTGATCAAGGCGCAACAGTAAGTTGGCACAAATAATCCACCCATGAATTGTACATATTAAATCGAAGCAAGCACTAAAACGTCTTTCTACAGCTAAACCAGATATTAGAGTTTAATTTTAAATAAATAATACCAAGATACCATTTAACTTATAGTTGAATGATACAAAATCCGTTAGCGGATGCATACAACAGTGATCCACTTTCACCGGAAATGGCAGTTAATGAAAGGTACGCCACTAACGACTGATATTGGGCGCCATTTGTTTTCATAGCGCTTCTGTAACTGTTCAAATGCATCGAATACAATACACAAAAATAACACTACTTTTTATAGTCTACACCAGTGGTTTGGCCGCCATCTTTGAATTTGCGAAAAAACGCTTCCTCAAGCCAATACCATTCAACTCACCTCATATTGCCAAATTTACTGATCCTTTTAAGCAGGATTTGATGAGATACTGGATGATAAAATAAAATCAAAAGTTGAATAATTGCAGTCAATATAGCGCTCGCTTGAGTTCATCACTTCCGCCTTGATTGAAGATGTGCAAAAATCGAATTTACCATCCGAATGTGTATTATCTCATATGCAAATATTTTCTGTTTTGATTTAAAAACTACATTGTATATTACCTAATGATCATACAAATAATAATTGTAGGTAGACTGTATATCTACAATTTAATGATTGAGGTTACATTTCCAAACCACCTAGACAATAACTTGTTTAAACCCTTTATTGCTGCTTGAAGCTGTAATTTGCCTTAGAATAATAATAATCTATGCATTCTAAATGAAAAGTGTAAAAAAGGAACTGACATAACAAGCCATTAATTCAATATCAATAATCGTATAGGTAGTTTAACAAAGGACAAAGTACATTCACATATACATATGACAATGTATATAGTGCTACACAAGATTACATCATCAGTTAATGAGCATTTAATGTACAAAATATTGATATGTGGACAAGTAATACTACCGGTTAAACCCAATTGTTAATTAATGAAAAAGACGTACTTAATATGGATGATATTGAGATCACAAGATCACCATTTAAACCCACATTTCATTTATGTGAATCTCAATACAAAAACTTGAACTTGGCACATATAATAATAGTTATGTTTTTTTTTAATAGGCAAACCTGGCTGGTAGATTTCCCAGGGAAGATGATGGTAAATTTTAATTTACTCGATATAAGTTTTTTTATTCTGAAAGAAAAATGTTTATTTTTATTTACAGATATTTCAACGCTAAGAATATCAACAGAATTGCAGTTTTAATCAGACGTTTAAATCACTATTATTACAATTTCTGTTTTTTGATTGGTTGCTACGAAACTGCTAACCAAATGCTCGTCAATATCTGTACCATTATTTTTTTATGAAACTAGCCAATCATTCTGAAAATCAAACGGTGAAATTATTCGTTACAATTTCAATGTCGGGTGAAGGCCAAAATATATGTTAAACAGTACGTCATACTGAGCATATCCTCTTTGCGACTACGTTCAAGTAGACATTTCTTGTGACCATAAAAATAAGCAATATTTTATTATTGACATAAGTCTCAATATCAAGAAAACTATTATTTATTAAGTTTAAAAAGAATATCAGAAATGTTTTGAGTGAACCAGATTAAATTCACCCCTCCCTAAAACTGAAAATAATCAAAGCAATGTCCAATCTAATGTTGATTGCGACAATAACTTCCATTTCAGAACCCCAAGTAGTGCTAGAAAATGTGGCAATGTAAGACAGCAACTCAAAGTAGTGATTGGTCAGCATCTTTCCCGGCAAGCAATGCTGTGGATGGTAATACCGCCACAAATTGGAGAAGTGGTAGCTGTACCAGTACTCCGAAAGAAAAAGGTGCCTGGTGGAAAGTTGATCTCGGGTCTTATTACCGTGTGTATGAAGTAATTGTTACTAATCGCCAAGACTGTTGTCGTGGGTTTCTAATCGTATTATGTCTTAATACTGAATGTAACAATATATAATGGCTTTTGACATACTCCCCATAGTATTCAACCGAATTGGTTACGTTATACTTACATCTTGCTTAATAAATTCGTAGCATTGTTTAAAAACGCTCTGTGTGTAGACCGTTGGTCAGTAGGGCCAAGTTTCTTTAAAGCTCAAAATGTTTGCCTCGAATTTGAATATTTAACTTTTGTTTACGAAACATAACTATAACTCACCCATACTTCATACTATCATAGTATACTTCTTATCTAGCATGAATATGATCACACGAAACAAAGAACACATTATTGTATTACAACCGTCACAAGTCAGTCTACAAATAGATTACTTTGACATTTGTTAATAAATAAATGAGGGTCATGCTATAAGACAGCACTGACATTCATAATATGCAAATAGACTGCTGCATACTCTAATGATAGTTCAATATTGAACCTACTGCAACAAATTAGCTAATTATGAATATCAAACTGTTTGTTTTAGAATATTTTATTTCTTTGTTGTATTCATTCAAAGTAAATCAGAATCAAGCGTGTTTCAGGTATGAATACAATGTTCTGGCGTTCATCCAAATTGCATTATTTATAGAATTATAGATATTGAAATACAAACAACTGTGGAGCAAAGATCACATTTGATGTCAGCTAAACAAGCGTTCCAACTGAAAGATCATAACAACTATTGACACAGGTGTAAAGTGGAGATGTATTAGAAGAACTCGCTAAACTTGAAATATAAAAGACCATTTTTGCGTTCGACGATCCACAGGATGTTTTTCCAATGTTATTACTGTATTTATTTAATGGTATATCGTTTCATTCTTATAATTCTAATCTTTGAAAGTATATATTTATTTGGAATCATATTACTATTCATTATACTGTTAAAGAACAATTTGCATGATAGGTTCAAGTGCTATGTAACCAAGTATTATTATAATCATTAAACTTCACACCAAACTCAGACTCCTCATTCCAAATACTTTACCTTGCCTAAAGCTGCTCAGTCTGAGCCAATGGGCAATGTCTGATTAAAAACAAGTGGTTAACAAGTTATGCACATTTGCATGTACCAATCACACTTACCATTTGAATGCAACTGCAGAAATTTCATATTGCATATAAAAACACGTGTGGCAATCAGAGCAAAAGATTAGCCATTGCGGCTGTGAGAAGACTTGCCTGATTAAACCGTACTGTTTTATTAGTTTCTTCAAATCAATTCGGTTTATTCAGTAAGCGTCCACATACCTTCTTGGTTAACTACGTTAGAGCACGACTTTGATGTGTATTGTGTATATGAAATTCCCTCATTGTAAATGAACAATGTCTGACGATCTGATCTGAAAATATCAAGGCATTGATTTAACGTGTTCGTGCGCAATCTCAGTAAACTTTGTAATATGAACCATGAACCATTCTTTTCATAGACTGACAAGTCATTGTTAATGACACAGTCCCCATCCAAGATGTTGTGATCTGACGTATCAATTTCATGCTGATGAGGTCATTGAGATTAGATTGAAAGCATTAATAGAAGATGGATTTGTAAAAATAAACATGATTTAGTGCTTTTACACGAGAATTGGACATTGGGCAGTCATATTGAATCAAATTACACAAATAATGTTCATATTGATGTATCTATTAGTATTCTGTCTTTGTACAAAATGCATTCAAGGGAAAGTAGGCATGGGTATCATGAAAAACAAAATGGCCACCAGTCAGCCATATTAGTTTGAATCACAGAAAAAGTATGACGTGCACATATAACCAAATATGTATGATCATCATATCAACTTTGATCCAAATTGGCCTAGTCATCTCTTAGAAACAGCTCAAGACATGTAAAAATGATAATTTAGCATTTTTACATGAAATGTGGGCATTGGTCAGCCATATTGAATCGAATCACAAAAATAATGATGGTGCAGTTGTATCTAGTGGTATACTATCTTTGTACAAAATTTAAACAGAAACGTGCATTGCATTCAAGATAAAATAGCATGGGTACCATGAAAAACAAGATGGCGCCAGTCGGCCATATTTGTTCGAATCGCACAAAAAATGACGTGCACCTACAACCCAATATGATCATCATACCAACTTTAATCAAAATCGGCCCAGTCATCTCCGAGAAACTGGTGCGGACACGTTTAGGTATCAGAAATAGCAAATTTTACATCCAAAAATGGCCGCCAGTTGCTCCGATCATAAGGTTACTTGACGCGAATATGTAAGACATTATGTATTGTCTTCATGTAAAGTTTGAATGAAATCCGTCAATGGGTGTCCACGTACGTATTTCATTTGGTATGTATTCTCTCAAGAAGTATTACCCATGTTAACATATATACCTTAGCATAGAAATGTTCAGAATATTACATTGAATTACGTGCATTGTATATGTATGTTGGAATGGTTTGACGCATAATATTTGTTTTAAATGTTTGTTGTGACAGGCAACAGCTCCAGACATTGAATGTTATTGTTGTCTCTCCTGACTTTTTTTGTATGTGCAAATTGCAAGTGCTGACACAAAGTGGATTTTTGCCACAGAAGTCATATTCATATTTAGGACTACATGACAGGGCATGTGCGGCCATCTTCCTATCAAATGGCAATTTAATGTATGGCTTCTAGTGATTTACCAATCAAGTATTATGATATCTTTCTACAACTATGTTTTGGTTTTAGATACTGGTCCAGGGTTGTGATAACACGATGAAATGTAGAATAGAACACATTGGGAGATGATTACCCAAATCATCACAATGATAGATGATCACATGAAATATTAGATTGAGTAGTCATATTGAAATCATTAGTTCATTAGTTATTGAGTCATAATGTTAAGTTTTGTATAACTTTGTTGTGGTCCAAAGCACTGTAGGGTCATTGATAATTTTTATGGGCATACACAATATTTGTATCACACAGGTTGACAGCATTATTTAAAATATTCACTGTCATCATTGTATCTAAACTGTAAGTTAAGCAGCATCCCGTTCCCAAACTCGCATAACAAGTGACCACATGTATGATCGGTTTCATTCTCTGCAACAACTCTGACATGTAGTCAAATCAGATCCCTCAGGTTGATCATAATTTCGCACAATTGAGAAATATAAAATCGTCGGAACATTATGCAGAGTTCTGATCTTGTGCAGAGTCCCACTACACACAAATTCCAAGATGTAGTGTTTTACACGTAAACTGATGTATATCTGTCCAAGATCAAGTATTCCGACAGAACGTAACAATGGTTAGAACAGAAAAGAGTTATGACACAACGAACTTTCATTCACTCACTCACTCACGTGCACCAGACTACACAAATAAACCAAACGTTGCTTGATAAAGCCTATTCGTTAAGCTTCCAGACCCTGAAGTCGGTTTTACAATGTTGAACATTTCTGAAATTTGTATTGAGTTAGGCTGCGATAGTTCTGCAACTTATTTAATATTTTACTAGTAATATTTTACTATACTATTTCCTGGTCATGGGACTAGCATCTACGCATCTTTGAACAGCGATGCATTATAAAAAGTGATTGCACATGTGCGATTAGTTTACATGATTCTTAACTTCGTTCCATAAGCAATAAACATGTTTGAAAAAGGGCATCGTGAGAGTGCTGAAAAGAAGTGGTAGGCCATTTGTACTATGAAACGAGCACCAATTATCAGTTTGCGACATGTCTTACCTCGTTTAATTACTATGAATAACGGAATTTAGGCATTCCTTATTGAATGTTGCGCACCTGAATACAATGATTTTATTGTGTGTCTATAGCAGTATTTTTTATTGTTGATTAAACTTTTTTACTGATAAAAGCATTGCTGCCTGTTTTTTGGGGCTGGCTTGTCTGGATAGACTGCTGGCACGTTGCCAACAATAAGACAGTTGAATATCTCTCCTCATCTCCTCTGAGAACTATAATACTGACTAATCACAGGCCTGGGAACCTTAAATCATCTGAATAATTTCTACACATTGCAGCGCCAATGATCAAAACCCGAAGATAGCCATTATAGCTTATACGTCTCGACAAAAAATGCATCACTTTCCCGAAAAATGTGAAATTGCACAACCTAGTGATACAAACATGGGAAAACGTATTTTGAGGGTTATATAAACTCGTTTTTGAATACTTTGATAACGAAGCAATTTACTCATGTCAATATCGTTGACTCATCTCCCAATTGTTCAATCTTATTTCTCCTTGCGTTTTTAGCGTGTGTTGTTATCGTCACTTGAGACTCAATTCCTGTGCGTACGCAGGTGGCGACCCTCCCGCCTTAAAAACTGCGTATACACACTTTCTAATCAAAATTCGAATCGCTTATCTGTCATAAAAGAAAATCGATAGTTATATAAAGTTATATGTTTGAAATTTATAAGTTTGAAATTTGTATAAGTCACCTAGTAAAACTGAGTGGTGAATAATATCGGTTATAAAGAGATAGATTGAGTATTTGATGATGGTAGCTCCACGAACTGTCTTCTGTGTTTGATACGAACGCCGAAGATTACATTTGAAATGTCGAGGTATAAATCATTCTATATGTTGGTGTATGGTTTCAGATAATTGGGAATCCATTTCTCGTGTTGGTAATGATGATTCTCGAGTTTCTACACACAAACCCGGGTTTGACTTAAATCTTCCAAAAAACATACAAGTATAGCGCTTGGAATAATCGCCGACGAATTCTGGATGGATAAGCCAAAATGCTGTATTACACCTGGCCATTTTCTTAATATCTATTTCCATAAAGCCTAACACACATAAATATATTTACCTGGGAAGACATCGCTGAGGGAGTAAGATGTAAAGTTGACAGCCTGTGAGCCAAATTGAGGGGAGAATTATGTCCAGCATCTGTATTTAGAGCCGGATGGTTTCCTTCACTTCTGGTGCCTTTTGGCTTAGCAAAAGCTCAGGCATTGTTGAGCAGGGTTATGCAGTTGGTACTAAATGGAATGTAGAATATTGACAGGTTCGTTGATATTTGTTCTATACAGCAACCTGGAGAAAAATCTCACAATCCATGATGAAGTAATGGCGAGACTCAAAGAGCTGAATCTCACAGCAAAGGCACGTATAGCCTTTAACGGATCGGACAAAGAAGGGGGAGCCTCACCTGATTAGATGTGGTGGGAGTCAAAGAGGCACATACTTCATCTACCAGAATACTTAAAGCCGTTCGTGCTATGCACAGATACATGGAATTTAAACTTACTTAAATTTAAACGTACAGTTCTTCAGCAACTTCGCAGAATAGTATTGTCAGTAGTCGATGCATGAAAGCTTCTAACAAAAGCAATCAGGTATGGTTCATCTCCTTGCCTATGCTGCAAGACCAGACTGATAGTACAACCAGATTTACGTCAATGCCTGTGTGCAGACATGACACGTTTGTTGGTTTTATTGGTTCTGTCCTGTAATGGCGTATCAATCTTAGGTTGGTAAATATGGTCACAACTGGTGTATCTCGGTCGTGTAGACGTGTTTGAATATTAGCAATTGGTAGTGGTAGATTATTGAATTATATCTACCCAGATCGGTTACTTAAGACAACGGCAGACATTTATATATGCATTTTGATTTGCTTTTATGAGCTCTGGTCAACTAGCGGCCATTATAGGTCCACACATAACATTTGCGGAAATGTAAGAGTGTCAATGTAAAGTGAAATAAATTTTTTCATGCTTTTAAGTTTGATCTAAAAAAAAACATTTTTAAAAAGGCGAATCATAATGTTAAATGCAGTGCAAAAAGCAAAAGTGTTTTTTTTCATATCTTATACGAGTTTACACTTTAAGTGTACAAATGCAAGCCATGTATGTGACGTTTTTGTAATGTACAATTTGTAATGTACATTTAAAGTTGTGACATATTAACCATGTACTGCTAGTTTATAATATCGACATTCCAAATATACGTCCAGGGTCAGTACTCACATTTGAGTAGGCCGTGTGCAACACAGTGAAAGTAACACACTTCATATTAAATTCATCAAAAACCAAAACTCCTGTGTCTAGATTCACAGTAGCATTGTTCTGTATATTACGAATATCAGATATTGCTACTTTTATAGGTCATCTTTATATATTTCAGAACATTGACTTTCATTTTGAATGAATTGTTTAACAAGTCAGTAAATGTCTGATCCAAATTCACGGAGATAAACGTTTTTGGCATTAAAACATACAACGAATATAACGTTATTACTCGTCCTGTAAGTTCTTTATTCAATGTATACACCATACCCAGGAAACAAAATCGATTAAGCAATGCAGATAAAAGATAGCAGTCGACGTTGCTGTCATAAATAGAGAAGGCGACCGACCAGTTTTCTTAGCATTTGTTGCATAACTTAAAATGTCAAGATATGTTTTTGAACCCTCGTAATCATTGCTGAATGTTGAGAAAATTCTGAAAACGAGGCACCTTGACCGCACAACACAAAGTAAAAATAAGTTAACGCCTGGGTAATGTGTCTCTGCTAAAAGTTAGGTTTGTTTTCCTCGGAAATTAAGTGGCACATCATAATGCCGTTTATATATTGACACTCTCTGAAAGCCAATTTTCGAACAGAAATTGGGTGAGGTATAATCGTCTTTTTATTTTATTTCTCATCTCATCCTCATTTCGTCTCTCGTCATTTTCACAATATTTGTACAGAAAAAAAAATGTCATCACTCAATTCAATTTTGAGCTGTGCGTGGTGATTCATATTTCGTAGAATTTGCTCTTGCTTTGCATTTTTCCTGGAAGCTCTTAGTGAACGAAAGTGAAGCTGCCAGTAAATAAGCAGCGGCACATAGTGAAAAAGAAACATTATAGTTTGATGTCTTGTCATATATCCACCCTGAAACCAAAAAAAATGAATATAATTATAATACATCAGGGAGGCACCTTAAACAGTTTTATGTTTTGATATTTGTCATGCTAAAATTGAATGAGGAGATCATAAGTCATGTATTTTTTATATAAAATTGTATTTACTCTATGAACAACCTACTCGAGATTAGAAAATGGGTTTGGTTTGGTAGAACACTAGTTTACATTCTGTTAAGTCTAGACGTTTTTGCCCATTCATTATATAACCCAGTTCATATAAGTTTCAAGTTTATTCAGGGATAAGTTCATATAGGACTTAAGTGTACATGTACATGAATTTAGAAAGGTTTCCTGATTATCTAAGGTTTGAAGGTACTCTCGTTTTCTTGGGTTTCCAGTTGACGCTGCATTTAGCTGTCAAGTTTACACAGATGTTAGTTTTACATATTTACTTATCTATGTTAAAATTACTCACCTGCAAATGGTGGACCGATTGCATTCCCTAAACCAGCATGAAATAAATACCAACCAATCGCACTTGATAAATGTTCCACCCCCAACACATATTTTTATTGAAACTGCCCCGTTTAATGCTATATAGATCCCACTTGAGATGCCATATATTACCGTTATTTCTGCATACCCTGCGTAGCTCCCATTGAAAATGACGACCATGACTACTGATGCTCCAGCCACAGTTGCTGCACAGGCAGCAATAACCATTGGTGAGATGTAACCTAAGTCGACAAACCAACCATGTGTGATTCTTCCGATAAATGAACCAATCTCTAGAATGGTCATTAAAAAGGAAGCATTGCGTATTGGTATGCCTGAGGTCACGGCTTTGTTCACGAAATGAACAACAAAAGCAGAATAACTAATACTAAAAATAAAAATGCATAAACACAATATGAAAAACCAGCTATTTGTGAATAAGTGTAGTCCGAGACGTTGACTGACTTTTTTTCTCAATGGGTTTGGTTTCTCTGTAACATCACTGTCTTTACATTCTAGATTTAAATGGTTATCCATACGTTGTTGTCGCGATTTGAAGGAGATGAACTCTTTCTTGTATTGTTCATCTGTATCTTCTAACAACACGTGTCCGGCCGAATGTTCGTCACTGGTTACACAGCAATTTTTGATCTTCGGTATTTTTGCTTGAGTGTTTCTTATCAACTCTAGTATGTAGCCCTGGTGGTCTCATTAGCATCCCGCATACAACCATATTCAGATTTATTCCTGCCAGGAAAATCATTGCGCCTCTCCATCCATATGTCTCGATTAACTTGTGGTGTAGAGGTGGAAATATCATAATGCCAACAGAAATACCTGCATACATAAAACCGTTAGCTAGAGCGTGTCGTTTGTGAAAATATTGACCTATAATTACAACGGTCGGACCATAGATAAGTCCATATGCCATTCCTATAAATAAAACATGGTAGAGTGTTGTTTAACTTAACCATGTATTATATTTGTATATAAGAATGTACAGCTACATAACACTGGTTCCATAGTGAGCTATTGTAACGGACGTGTGGCCAGTTAAAAGTGGACCTGGGATTCAGTGACTGAGCCTTGTTAATTTAATGCCAAACTACTTATCAAAGAATCTCAGCCGTAATTGAACCTGACCTCACTGTAAATCATGTTGATTTTGTTGCAGGCCTGTCTTGCTGACTGTGAAACTTGTTAACTATTATTTAATAAATCCCTCAGCTATGGTAGTGTGAAACATATCTAACCCATTGTGACGGACTAATAACAAAACATTAATACTGTTTGCAAATGAGCATAGAAATAAAGCAACACTGGATATCACTCCGCCGATAACAACCAAAGGTCGAGTCCCAAATCTACTATTCAAACTACTGACCATAGGACCTGTGAATAAATATGTCAATATAGTTGTTAATGTTAATGTTAATTAAAATGTGCCATTGCGAATTGAACATTGACATATATAGTAACCATGAAAATAGGTTTCTTACTTGGGATTGTCATCATTGCAGTCGCTAAAGACTGTAGCAGAGCAGTTTTCCCTGCGCCTTCTCCAAAATAGTCTAGAAACTTTACCAAGAAGACACCCATTCCTGACCCACTGCATCCCACGATCAAACATTTGCTGGAGAAACATGCAGCGACAACAATCCACCTATAAAATCCACCGTCTTCTTTGCTGAACAACGCCATGACAGTCTGACCTATAGTAGGAACAGGTTATGCTTTCAGTAAGTCACAAATATCACATATAAATCAAATTGTGTGTTGTAATGTGCACCAGTACAAGTACGCAATGATTGTCCAGATAACGTACCTGACAGGCACGATGTTATTTTTGAATGTACTGTACAAATTAGGTCACTCAAGCAATGATACCACATGATATGTGTTCAAAGAAGGTGGGCATTAAATACTAAATACAGTCGACAATTATGCACGTCAATAGATCAATCTACTTACTTGCAACGTTCTTTGGCATGTATTGTATGATGATGATCGGCGTGAGAATAATACAATAAACAGTTTGTGTGCTCCAATATAAATATTTTGGGGCTCATATAACAGAGTGGATGTTTAGATTAATCCAGTAATTTGACTTTCTCTTGTTAAATATAGATTTGTAACATCTACAAATTGTTTCTTTTTTCTGTCAATGTTGTCTCAATTATAATGTTCATAAGCTCAAATCTTTAATTCTAAGGTAAGCCGTTTAACATTGTTTTAGTATAATTATTTTAATTATATTGCCTGCATTCTGGTTCAGTATATAGTGCTGCTATTTACATAGAAATACATATATAGCTTCCATGCTGCATTTCCCCGGGAGAAATCTTAAGCGGGTTTGTATCCAATGAGGACGTAGTTCACAGTGGCCAATTTAAATTAATTATACGCAGAAAGGGATGCAGATATTTGGTTGTGAATGCTAAATTTATTTTGCATATATCAAGGACAGTCACATCCCAAACCTAGGCTAAGCAGATTTCGGAATATAAAACACCCGCACCAAATTCACTTACGTAAAGAACTGAAACTTAACATTTCAAATGATCTAATATCTTAATTTACAACTCATTAAATAAGACACACGGTACTGTTTTTATGTGTTTATTTGAAAACTAAATATTTGGTACATTAAGTCCACAGCCTCATAAGTATGTTGACAACAAGCTGATGACGTCATGTCTTTGCATCTTGTCCTGTTGTGGCATTTGTTGCACGATGGTCTAACTACACTAAACTGTTTTTAAGGGTGTTTATGGAGTTATTATCCAACAGATTGTCTTTTATTCTACTTCAATCTTTTATTTTTGTACAGAGTTAAGCAGCAGCCCAACATCAGTTTCTTATTTCTAGATGACTTATTTGATGGAGTATCCAATACTTTTACAATGTCTTGGCTATTTTTTTCTAAACGTTATGCACAAATATGTTTTTTATGTCTTTGAATTTTCCACTTATTGTATCCATGAAATTGGCTGAATGCATCAGGAATAGGAAAAGAGCGGTTTTGAAACTTTTCATGGTGACTATTAATATACCACAGGCAATCACGAACTGTAGCAACTGTTTGGTTAGCCACTTCAATGTGGTTTTTAGTCCAATCCGCTTCCATGCTTTCAAATAAATCAATGACATCATTATACAGAATCTGAAGACTAGGTCAATTGTTTACAATCATGAGGCGGTTCAATTTTTTTGGCAAAATCACTTCACTTGCACTGTTTTGCAGCACTAAAAATGCATTTCTCTTGGCTACTGGTGTTGACTGAGTACAAATATTAGCTTCCGACATTCCAAATGTACGTCCAAGGTCAGTGCTCATATTTGGGTAGGCCCTGTGCAACACAGTGAAAGTAACGCACTTTCATCACAAACCAAAACTCCTTTATCTGGATTCACTGTAACATTGTTGTGTATATTACGAATATCAGATATTGCTATTTTTTTATGAAGTCTTCATTTATATCAGAACATTGACTGTCATTTTGAATGCATTGTTTAAACAAGTCAGTAAATGTCTGATCCAAATTCACGGAGATCAACGTTTTTTGGCATTAAAACATTTCCACTCTCACTACACAGACTATAACGTTAATACTCATCCTGTAAGTTCTTTATTCGATGTATTAACCATTACTCAGGAAATAAAATCGATTAAGGAATGCAGATAAAAAATAGCAGTCCACGTTGCTGTCATGAATAGAGAAGGCGACCGACCGTATGAATGCGTTTTGGATATGCACAGACAACTCTTGGCCTGAAGTATAGCACTTTGCGAGTGTCTGTAACAGTGCCGCCAACGGCCACGTGAATATTTACAGCAAATTAAAAAAAAAATCTAAAATGGTGATAGGTGCTCGCGGGTCCGATGAACAAGTAATATAATATAATATAATATAATATAATATAATATAATATAATATAATATAATATAATATAATATAATATAATATAATATATGTCTGTGAGTGCCATTGCGAATTGAACATTGACTTATATAGTAATCATGAAAATAGGTTTCTTACTTGGGATTGTCATCATTGCAGTCGCTAAAGACTGTAGCAGAGCAGTTTTCCCTGCGCCTTCTCCAAAATAGTCCACGATCAAACATTTGCTCATGAAACATGCAGCGACAACAATCCACCCATAAAATCCACCGTCTTCTTTGCTTAACAGCGTCATAGCAGTATTACCTATAGTAAGAACATACGGTGGCTTGTTAGGGCCATTGACGATTTTTCTAATTTTTGACATTTTACTTGTATTTTCCAGCTTTTTCTCGAATTTCCAAAATTTTCTCCAGAATTTTTCTGCTTTTATTTTGAATTTTCGACATTTTCACCAGTATTTTCACCGCAGTGAGAATATTTAAACCGCGGTGAGAATATTTAAACCGCGGTGAGAATATTTAAACCGCGGTGAAAATATTTACACCGCGGTGAAAATATTTAAACCGCGGTGAGAATATTTACACCGCGGTGAAAATATTTACACCGCGGTGAGAATATTCAAACCGCGGTGAAAATATTTAAACCGCGGTAGAAATATTTAAACCGCGGTAGAAATATTTTCACCGCGGTTTTCCCCCAGCCTCTCTTTCATTTCGTCGCCATTGTTTCGTAATTATCAAACGTGGGAGATGCGTTCAGTTGAAGAGGTAAGTTTACTGCCTTTTGGGGGATTGCCTTCCGCAAAATCTTGTCATATATTTTTGATGTGGGAGACACGACACGATTCCGTACAACATACAATAAAGGGGACGTTTCCAACCAATTGACTGAGACGCTGTACCCGTGCTTCCACGCTAGTACAACTAACTCACGATTAGACAGAACAAGCATTGATTTGTAGTATTTTGGCGTATTTCGAATTTCGTCAATGTTACTGTAGCGTTAGGTATGGTGACCCGGGTATGGCGATTCGTGCTTATTGTAATGTAAT